GCCCCCCCCCCCCCCCCCTCATACCCAACCCCTTACGCACTCTTCACACAGGGGCACTCACAGCACACTGTGAGAAGGTTCACGGGGCCGACTACAGTGTACAGCGGAGAGAGAGAGAGAACAGCGGAGAGAGAGAGACAATACAGCGGGAGGAGTGCCTCATACCAAACAGCCGAGGCAGCCGGCATGACGATGATGTTCGCCGTCGCGGTCAAATCGCTGCTTCTGTTGCACCCGAGCGAAACCCACGCCAAACGCCGGCCGAACACTGCGCTGGTGTCGGCCCGGATGCAGTTCGGCGACATTGAGCAGAGCCTGAGCGTGACGGAGCTGAAGCGGCTCCTCTCCGAACGGAACGTGGACTTCCGCGACTGCTTGGAGAAGCGCGACCTGGTCGAGAGGCTCCGCTCGAGCAGCGCCAGCGGCCGCTTCTCGTCGGTGGTGGCCGGCCCTCCCAGCCTCACCGAGTCGGAGGGCCGGACCGTCGACACGTTCCGGCGCGTGAGCCCATCCGTCTGCTTCGTGCAGACGTCGCAGAGCGTCGTCACGTCGCCCTTCTCGCTGCGCGCGATGGAGGTGCCCGCCGGGACCGGCTCCGGCTTCGTGTGGGACGCCGACGGGCACGTGGTGACCAACTACCACGTCGTCGCCTCGCGAGGGGCGGTGCCGCGGCTAGTGCGGCTCAAGCTGCAGGGCTGCTCTGAGGCGCTCGAGGCGCAGGTGGTGGGCGTGGAGGCGGACAAGGACATCGCCGTGCTGCGGATCCGGTCTGGCGCGCTGCCTCCGCCCGTGCCGGTGGGCGCCTCCTCCTAGACCTCGGCTAGACCTCGGCTAGACCTCGGCTGTACCTCGGCTGTACCTCGGGCTACGCCTCGGCTAGACCTCGGCTGTGTCTCGCTGCCTCCGGTGGGCGCCTCCTCCTCCCCGCAAGTCGGCCAGCGGCATGCCACTCCGCAGTGATGCGCCCACCTCCCCTACCTCACTATGGAGCCGAACCCACCTCCCGTCGGCCGCCGGCACCACTCCGCAGCGATGCTCCCGTACACCGACCAGGTGGGCACCTCCTCCGACCTGCAAGTCGGCCAGACGGTTCTCGCGATCGGCAAACCGTCCGGCCTCGACTACTACGCCCTCCTCCCCTACCCCCCCCTATGGAGCCGAACCCACCTCTAGGCAACCCGTTCGGCCTCGACTACACCCTCACCACCGGGGTCGTCTCGGCGCTCGGCCGCGAGGTGGACGGCGCGGGTGGCCGCCCAATCAAGGGCTGCATTCAAGTCCGCCCCCCACCGTCGCCGCCTCCCGCCCCCCCCCACCTCCAGCCTCGCCGCCGCCGCCCTCCCCCCCGCCGCCCCCGCCCCCGCCGCCCTCGCCCCCGCCGCCCTCGCCCCCGCCGCCCCCGCCCCCGCCGCCCTCGCCCCCGCCGCCCAGCCCAGACACGGGCCGTCGCAGCCTCCAGACAGACGCGGCCATCAGCCCCCATATCTCCCCACATCTCCTCCAGACGGACGCGGCCATCAACCCCCATCTCTCCCCACATCTCCTCCAGACGGACGCGGCCATCAACCCCCATATCTCCCCACATCTCCTCCAGACGGACGCGGCCATCAACCCCCATATCTCCCCACATCTCCTCCAGACAGACGCGGCCATCAACCCCGGCTCCTCGGGCGGCCCGCTCCTCGACTCGCGCGGCCGCCTCATCGGCATCAACACCGCGATCCTGTCGCCCGGCGCAAAGGGCGGCGTGGGCGGCAACATCGGCATCGGCTTCGCGATCCCGGTCGATGTGGTGCGGCGCGTCGTGACACAGATCATTCGGCACGGCCGGGTGGTGCGGCAGACACCTCCTAGACACCTCCTAGACACTTCCTGCACACACTTCCTAGGCACGGCCGGGTGGTGCGGCCGTCGCTCGGCGTAAACGTGCTCGACGACTGGCGGCGGCGCTCGTACGAGGAGCAGCTCGGCCAGCCCCTGCCAGGCGTGCTGGTGGTCGAGGTGGTCGACGGCTCCCCCGCAGACCGCGCGGGGCTGCAGGCGGCGCGCGTGCGCGGCGCGGACGTGGTGCTCGGCGACCTGATCACGCACGTCGACGGCGAGCCGGGAGTCCCCCGCGTAGAGCTCCCATCCCGTCCCGGCAGAGGTTGCGGCCTCTCTCCACCGCCAGGCGCTTCCTAGACACTTGCTAGACCCTTCCTCGACACGTCCTGCCTCTCCACCGCCAGGTGAGCCCGTGCGGCAAGTGGAGGACCTCCTCTCTGCCGTCGAGGAGAAGGCCGTCTTGGTAGACACCTCCTAGACACCTCCTAGACACCTCCTAGACACCTCCTCTCTGCCGTCGAGGAGA